TTTCTTCCAGTCTAAACGCATGGCCTCGTGTCCTATGTAAAGTCCGGTTTGTGAATAGATTTCCACACAATGGTTTGTATTGGCCCCGAATATATTTGTATAATGTTATCATATCCCCTCTCAGGCGACGTTTTTCTAAACTAAATAGGTTTAAATTTGTTAACCTTTCTTCATAGCCGATATGTTCCATTCCTTTTATTAATTTTGTAGCCCGCCTCTGCACTTTTTCTAGTGCCATAATATCCTTCTTTAGAACAGGTGCCCAAAATTGCACAGCATATTCAATATGAGGGTCTTACCAGTGATTTATAAAGAGGCAAAATTATATTCTTGTCCCGAGAATGAATGCCCTTTTTCATGCATGACAATACCTTACTGGCCTTGGCCACTGCTGATTGACATTGCACATTGTTGCATAGTTTGTTGTCTATAACAATTCCCAAGTCCTTTTCATGTGTTGTTATCCCTAATTCGCTTCCATTAAGGGTATACGTTGCTTGTGTATTCTTTACGCCGAAGTGCATAACTTTGCATTTTTCAACATTAAATTTCATCTGCCATTTGAGTGCCCAGTCCCCCAGTCTATCTAAATCCCTCTGCAGCAAAGTAATATCTTGCTCACATTGTATTGTTTTACAAAGTTTTGTGTCATCTGCAAACACTGAAACATGACTTTCAATGCGGTCTTCAAGATCATTTATAAACATGTTAAATAGAAGGGGTCCCAGAACAGACCCCTGAGGGACACCACTTGCCACCTCTGTCCAGCTTGAAAATTTACCATTAATGACAACTCTTTGTACTCTGTTTTTAAGCCAATGTTCTACCCAAGAACAAGCATTTTCATCTAGACCGATTTCCTTGAGTTTGAACACTAATCTATTGTGTGGAACTGTATCAAATGCCTTGGCAAAATCCAAAAAGATCACATCCACGGCAACACCCTGATCTATACTTCTACTTACTTCTTCGTAGAACGCAATCAAGTTAGTTTGACATGACCTGTGCTTCATAAAACCATGCTGATTTTTGCTGATAACCATGTTCTTCTCAAGGAATTCTTGAATATTATCCCTTAATAAACTTTCAAATATTTTACCAGCCACAGAAGTTAAGCTCACAGGTCTATAATTTCCAGGCAAGGATTTTGAACCCTTTTTGAATATAGGAACCACATCTGCCTTCCTCCAATCCTCCGGAACACTTCCTGAAAGAAAAGAATCTTGAAAGATTAAAAACAGAGGTTCACTTATTTCTGCACTTAGTTCCTTAAGTACACGTGGATGGATACCGTCAGGCCCTGGAGCTTTGTTTATATTAACTTTCTTTAGTTGCTGCAGCACCTTGTCTTGAGTTAACCAATTACAATTATTCTGCAAGTTTTTAGTAGCAATCATTTGCACATCTATTGCCATGGGTTCTTCCTTAATATATACGGAGGAGAAATAGTTATTTAAAATTCCTGCCTTTTCCTGGTCTTCATTAACTAACACCCCCGTTTCAGTTTTTAGTGTACCTACACTTTCATTTTGTTTTTTTTTAGAATTTATGTACTTAAAAAATGCTTTGGGGTTGGTTTTGCTCTCTTCAGCTATCATTATTTCATTTTGAAGTTTAGCAAGTCTAATTGCCTTTTTGCACGCATTATTTGCATCCTTATATCTTTTATAAGATGCATCTGATTTGTCCGATTTAAATGCTTTAAATGCCCTTCTCTTAGTTGTAATCTCTTGTTTTACTTCTCTACTAAGCCATGTTGGTTTTAATTTGTTTCTTTTATATTTATTTCCCAATGGTACATACTGAGAAATGTACCTTTGTAATATTTGTTGGAAGATGATCCATTTATCCTCAGTGTTCTTTTCACTAAAGAGTTTATGCCAGTCAATATATTGTAAAGCTTCCCTTAACTTATTGAAATTGGCCTTTTTAAAATTATATGTTTTAGTATTCCCCATGTGCTTTTGTTTTTTTGAGTTTATTTCAAAGGACACTATATTGTGATCACTATTTCCCAAGTGCTCACCTACTTGAATGTTGGTCAAAAGATCAACGTTGTTTGTTAAAACCAGGTCCAGACAAGCATCCATTCTAGTTGGTGCTTGTACAAGTTGTGACATGAAGGTGTCATTTAACAAGTTTAAAAACCTAATTCCCTTTGCTGAGGCACTAGTCCCTCTGTCCCAATTTATATCCGGGTAATTAAAATCTCCAATAATTAAAGTGTTACCCAGATTTGCAGCTTTCTCAATTTGCTCAAACAGCTGTTGTTCCTCGTCAATATTAACATTAGGTGGTTTATAACATATCCCAACCAATAGTTGGTTTCCCTTCTTTTCCCCAAGCAGATATTTACCCATAAAGCTTCCACATTATCCTCCTCGCATTCCATTTGCTTAACATTTGGCTTTAAATCATGTTTGACATACAAACATACCCCACCACCCTTCTTGTTTTTCCTATCCTTCCTAAATAACATGTACCCATTTAAGTTAGCTGCCCAGTCATGTGTCTCATCCCAGCATGTTTCAGTTATGCCTATTATATCATATTGTTTAGTGTATACAAATGCCTCTAGTTCCCCCATTTTGTTATTTAGGCTCCTTGCATTAGTAAGCATACATTTAATATTATGCGCCACTTGTATATTTTGTGAATTTTCAACATTACACAGCTTCTCTGTTCTGAGCTTGCCCCTCCCCCCGTTTCCACCCCCCTTATACTGTGCTAAAGCCCATCTCCTTTCTGTCCTATCTCCATTTTGTAGATTGCTATGACCCTCCCCCCTACTACTAGTTTAAAATCTCCTCCAACCTTCTAGCCATCCTATCCCCCAGCACTGCAGACCCTCTCCCGTTTAGGTGCAATCCATCACCACTATAAAGGTTGTACCCAATCGCAAAGTCGGCCCAGTGCTCTAAAAACCCAAAACCCTCCTTCCTGCACCAAGACTTAAGCCACGCATTGACCTCTCTAATCTCCCGCTGCCTTTCCACTGTAGCACGTGGCACAGGTAATATCTCAGAGAATACCACCTTGGAGGTCCTTTTCTTAAGTTTGCTACCTAATTCCCTGAAATCATTCTTTAGGACCTTCCATCTTCCTCTTACTTTGTCATTGGTACCAACATGGACCATGACCGCTGGGTCATCCCCAGCCCCTCCCAATAATCCATCCACTCTGTCAGCAACATGCCGGACCCGAGCACCCGGGAGACAGCAAACTGTCCGGTTGAGCCGATCAGAGCGGCAGATTGCCCTATCTGCTCTCCTAATGATAGAGTCCCCTACCACCACAACCTGTCTTGCCTTCCTTACATTTTGATCCCCACCCGTACTAGGGGGGCTGTTAGCTCGGCTGTTAGAAGTAACAGCTTCCTCTAATACAGCTACTCCTGAGCTGATGCTCCCAACATCTTCCCTCAAACGGGCAAATCTGCTAGGTTGCACCAAATCAGGACTAGCTAGCCCTTTCCTCTTCCCTCCCCCCCTGCTTCCTCGCCCCACTGTCACCCAGCTACATGCCTGTTCCCCATCTGTCTTATCTCCTCCCTCTCCACTACCTGTCCCCACTAAACTCTGCTCAGTGAGCAGTAGACTCCTCTCAAGATTATCAATCTCCCTCAATGTTGCGATTTGCTTCTCAAGATCTCCAATCTGAGCTTCCAGAGAAGCCACTCGCACACAACCATCACAGAGGTATGGACCCTGGATGGGTACATCCAGGCATCCATACATGCAACAAGATGTGCATTGAGTTAAACCAGCAATCTTGCTAACACTCATTTCCCCTTTAAACAGTAAATAAAAACAGTTACCTTGATAATTTAAACCTCTTGTTAGTTTCAACTCCTGGTTTTCTAACTCCTACTTGAAAGAGTCTACTTAATAGAGTCTGCTTTCAAATAATGTGAGCAAGCTCAGTGAGTTAGGGGTGTGCCTTTATGGGGATACAAATCCCACACAGGTGTAATTAATAAACACTCCCCCAATCAATCAAGCAGCAGCACACAAAAAAGGGGGGGGAAACCAGAACACAAAAAAAAAAAGTAAATTTAAAAAAAATAAAAAAAAAAATAAAATAAAAAACAAACCACTCTCCACAGTATACACACCACTCTCCACAGTATACACACCACTCTCCACAGTCAAACCACTCTCCACAGTATACAAACCACTCCAAGTAACTCCTGGTTTTCAAATCTTTGAAATAATTAAAGGACCACTATAAGCACCCAGACCACTTCAGCTCAATGAAGTGGTCTGGGTGCCAGGTCCATCTAGGATTAAGAGAAAACCAATAACCAAGAGTGGGTCAGTATAAAAACTTTCCCACTACTTGGTAAGAGTGTAGCGCTATAAATGTAATCCCAAAGTGCTCAAACGTATGAATACACACTTACACCTCAGGGGGAAACAGAGGGTATATATGCAAAAAAGAAAAAACAAAGAAGCACAAAGAAGCACATAGAATAATACTGTATGGTTAGAGTGTGGTTTAATGATACGTGAAATTAGACTCTAAACACTTTTGCATCCGTGCCTTTTAGGTAGGCAGCTGTACCATTTTCCTATGATCTGTTCCTCCCCTTTCCTCTTGACCAGTATGGATCTCCAGGAAAAATGGAAGAGAAGAGGAGAAAAAAAAATATAACTTCTGGGTGCAGACCTTTTTGAAACCAAAGTGCACAGTGATATATATATATATATATATATATATATATATATATATATATATATATATATATATATATATATATATATATATATATATATTTTTTAAGAGCCTTTTATGAACTGGCTCTAAGTATTTCTAGCATATGTGTCTATTTCTAAGGGTGACACTCTCCTCAACCGGATGCAAGGTAGAGGCAAGTAAATTCTCAAGGTATTTATTAATCAATAAAAAATAGAAGAAATTAAAATTTAGTCACAATACTATTAAAATAAAAAAGAATAAATACAGTACACGGTGAATCTCTTCCTCTCCTCCTTACCAAGACGCGTTTCACCTCCGATGTCGGCTTTTTCAAGTGGTATTCAGTTTGTTTTACTGTCCGGTTTAAAAATGGTGTCTATTCCCGCCTCTTCTCCTATTCGCCAATCACTTGTCCGAAACACGAGAAAGTCAGCTGTTCCAACTTGCGGCTATGATCGCTGTTACGTCACTTCCGGTTTGTACTGCCACAACGTCATTTCCGGTTTTACCGTCAGGACTACATCTCCCAAGATGCTCCTCTTTGTAGTCGTGATAGATGCATTTTAACAAATGCTTGATAGAGAGTTCGTAAATGTTCATATGTTCTAATTCTGGAGGTAGTATAGGCTCATAAGAGCGAGTCATTATTTAAGATTGGGGAGCACAAAGGGGTAATAATACAAAGAAAAACAGCTTATTGTAAGCTTATAAGAGAGGCAAATATATAAAATATAAAAAAGGATGGAAATCAAATCTGATTATAAAACAGCATATTGAGTGAATAGAATATCTTAAGATCTACCTATTTGTAATACATATTGGTAAAAAGTTCCCAAATAAAATGTATTTGTATATATAGTCAACAATATGATGAAAATCGTATTAAATATGAAGTATATGATGCTTACTTAAAAGACATATGTAAAGAAAAATATATATTTTGTTAAAAATATACATTTAAAAAATAAATAAATAAAAGGGTTGCAGAAATAAAAAAGAACGAACAGGACCATATATGTATTCGTGCTTGTTTTTTCATAAGAAATTATATAACTCAAAATCAGCATTCAAGCCAAAAGGGCTTGCTCTTACTTACTCTCCTGATATTCATTCGCCTGAGCACTATGGGATTACATTTATAGCACTACACTCTTACCAAGTAGTGGGAAAGTTTTTATACTGATTGGTTTTCTCTTTGTACTTACATGTTATATTGGGTTTTTTTGGAGTACCCACTAAGTGTTTTTTAGCAGCTTAACGAAATATTTTCACCATATCAGTAAGCACCACTGATTTCCACACCTTTCTTGTGGTGTTCAAATCTAAACTGCTATGTTTACATATGGGTTAACCGCTAGAGGCGCTTCCACGCAAGAAGACGCCAGCGTCCATAGGAAAGCATTAAGAGTGCTTTCCTATGGACTGGATGAATGCGCACGCGGCTCTTGCCACGCATGCACATTCAGCCGATGACATTGGAAGGAAGAGGAGAGTCCCCAGCCCGGCGCTGGAGAAAGGTAAGAATGTAACCCCTTCCTCCCCCTTCACCTCGGCGGGAGTGGGACCCTGAGGGTGGGGGCACCTTCAGGGCACTATAGTGCCAGGAAAACGAGTTTGTTTTCATGGCGCTATAGTGGTCCTTTAACAAAGACATATCTTACCATCAAGACCATCTGCAATATAACTAATAAAAATATTCAAGAGAATGGATTACAGATTCCTTAGGTACCCCACTGGTAACTAGACCTTGCTTCGAATATACTCCATTGAGTGTTGCCTCACTCCGCAACTGCCTAACCTATTCAACAATATTGGAATCCAAACTTAAAGATTGCAGTTAATTAATGAGGCTTCCATGTGCAACAGTGTCAAAAGCCTTACTGAAATCTAGGTAAACAAGGTTTGTTTAATATGGTTTCCATTACTTTCCCCACTAATGAAGCAAGGCTTACTGGCCTATAGTTGCCCGACTCCTCCCTACTACCTTTCTTGTGAATGGGCACAACATTTGCTAATTTCCAATCTTCTGGAAATACTCCTGTTAACATTTATTGGTTAAATCTGTGAATGGTTTTGATAGAACACCACTAAGCTCTTTTAATAACATTGGGTGTATCTTATCAGGTACCATCAACTTATTTGCCTTTACCTTTGACAGTTGAAATAGAATCTCTTCCCCTTGTAAACTCACATGTAACAAATGACTTATTCCTAACTGAGGTCCATTTCCTTCATTTTCATGGCAGTCAGCTAGACATTTATCTTCTTTTATTACACCATTTTTTTAATATATATATATATATTTCTTTATTTGTGTAGTTCTTGATAACAGAGCTCAGCCATTATACAGTAGAGTCCGCAATGCCTTAACATGTCAAGTCAGATTAAATGTATACATTAATCAGCACATTTTTATGAAGATAAAGAGGAGAGGAACACAATGCAAAAAGAGAGAGAGAGAAATAGCATTGCATTGCTTAAATCAGTGTTTTTCAACCTTTTTTGGGCAAAGGCACACTTGTTTCATGAAAAAAATCACGAGGCACACCACCATTAGAAAATGTTAAAAACTTTAACTCTGTGCCTATATTAACAGAGAACAAGAAAAGGACCACGGCGCTTAAAATTCTAATAATCTGGTGCAGCCAAAAGTTACCCAAGTGTAGTGTCACCTATTACACTTAAAACGTGATAATATAGAGAAAAGGGTGAAGGTACTTAGCGCTCACAGAAAAGAAAAGAAAAAAACTTTACCTTTGTACTTATAGAGATGAATAAGGCTTCTAATAGCCTGATAACCTACAAATGAATACATATAACAAACATAGTGTAATCTGTATATACAAAAATAGTAGAAAAAGGAGATATATACATTCAACTCACAATTTCCAGAGCCTTTTTTTTTTTAAAAGTTGGCTCTAAACTTTATCGGGTATATCGTCTCTTTTGAGACACAAAAGTAATCCTCAGGAACTTGGAGCTAATGATGTAGCAAAACGATCCTCAGGAGCTTCTAACTGGTAATATAGTTGCAAAACTCCAGCAGAGATATTTAAGAAAATTATTAAATTTATTTCACCAAATAAAAGTATATAAAATACATAAGTAATAGCACAACGCGTTTCAACCAATGTAGGTCTTTCTCAAGTGCATCCAAATACACACTGGACTTAAATCTGCTTATATACCGTTGATAACAGGCTGCCAGTTAGAGTAAGTAAATACATATGTGTATACACACCCCGCACTCCATATATGGTCATAGCCGGAAGTGTCAGATCCACCAAAAAGATGGCTGCACTTCCGGCTATAGACCATGCCCCACTGCCCTCCCAAAGCATAACCGCCATATCCCCATGTCCATATTGCGGTTTCTTTCCCTGTCCATACAATTTCTTTTTCCGGTCTTAAGGTTCGATACGTCACATCCTGTGACGTATGAGTCCGGATCACATGGGCAGGCTGACGGAACGCCAGTGCGTCATATCCTATGACGCATCAATCTGAATTGCGTGGGGAAAAACGGGGCGGGACGTCATCTTATGTAGCGGTGTATAAAACAGAAGATCACGTGGACGGACAAAGAAGCAGGAAGCAAGTCCATTTATAAATAGGGCAACAAGCCCATAGTTCACATTGTCAATGTCCAAATAACATGCAGAAAACAGAAGAGAAAAAGATAATCAAAACATAAAAATTATTTAAAATATTCACAATTATCCATATAATGCATTTCTATTTCTTTATACTGTGTTGTGGAAGTATCATACTATATACCCACTATATTAAAAAAGGAGGAAAGAAGAGGGATATACCAAAAATTATATATATACATCCATCTCTTGTTAAGATATTATACAAACTTATTAAACGATAGAGAAAATAGAATCTCATTGGAGAGGAGGGGATACTGCTAAACGTTTAAGTACCCAAGAAGCTAAATGGATTTTTGAAATGCACACCTTAATACCTCAGGGTCTGAATATTGATTTTGAAATAAATAGTATTCTATGAATAAGTTTGTATAATATCTTAACAAGAGATGGATGTATATATATAATTTTTGGTATATCCCTCTTCTTTCCTCCTTTTTTAATATAGTGGGTATATAGTATGATACTTCCACAACACAGTATAAAGAAATAGAAATGCATTATATGGATAATTGTGAATATTTTTAATTTTTATGTTTTGATTATCTTTTTCTCTTCTGTTTTCTGCATGTTATTTGGACATTGACAATGTGAACTATGGGCTTGTTGCCCTATTTATAAATGGACTTGCTTCCTGCTTCTTTGTCCGTCCACGTGATCTTCTGTTTTATACACCGCTACATAAGATGACGTCCCGCCCCGTTTTTCCCCACGCAATTCAGATTGATGCGTCATAGGATATGACGCACTGGCGTTCCGTCAGCCTGCCCATGTGATCCGGACTCATATGTCACAGGATGTGACGTATCGAACCTTAAGACCGGAAAAAGAAATTGTATGGACAGGGAAAGAAACCGCAATATGGACATGGGGATATGGCGGTTATGCTTTGGGAGGGCAGTGGGGCATGGTCTATAGCCGGAAGTGCAGCCATCTTTTTGGTGGATCTGACACTTCCGGCTATGACCATATATGGAGTGGGGGGTGTGTATACACATATGTATTTACTTACTCTAACTGGCAGCCTGTTATCAACGGTATATAAGCAGATTTAAGTCCAGTGTGTATTTGGATGCACTTGAGAAAGACCTACATTGTTTGAAACGCGTTGTGCTATTACTTATGTATTTTATATACTTTTATTTGGTGAAATAAATTTAATAATTTTCTTAAATATCTCTGCTGGAGTTTTGCAACTATATTACCAGTTAGAAGCTCCTGAGGATCGTTTTGCTACATCATTAGCTCCAAGTTCCTGAGGATTACTTTTGTGTCTCAAAAGAGACGATATACCCGATAAAGTTTAGAGCCAACTTTTAAAAAAAAAAAAAGGCTCTGGAAATTGTGAGTTGAATGTATATATCTCCTTTTTCTACTATTTTTGTATATACAGATTACACTATGTTTGTTATATGTATTCATTTGTAGGTTATCAGGCTATTAGAAGCCTTATTCATCTCTATAAGTACAAAGGTAAAGTTTTTTTCTTTTCTTTTCTGTGAGCGCTAAGTACCTTCACCCTTTTCTCTGTGCCTATATTGACTATATATATATATATATATATATATATATAGTAATTCTCTTGAATAGGAATCAAATAAACACCCTTCTCCCTCCCTCCTTCCTTTCCCTGTCTCTCCCCTATCACCATCTCTCTCTCCCCCCTCACATCTCTCCCTCCCCCTTTCCCTGTGTCTCTCCCCTTTCCCTCCCTCCCCATCTCTCCCTCCCCCCTTTCCCTGTGTCTCTCCCCTCTCCCTCCCTACCCCCTTTCCCTGTCCTCCCTCCCTCCCCTGTCTCTCCCTCCCTCCCCCCCCTGTGTCTCTCCCCTCTCTATCTCTCCCCCCAATTTACCTT